TAAAGCAAAATAATATAGTCTACAACAAACAGAAAAAAAAACTGTCGACTAACTAGTCTAAGCAACCAAAATTGTCTACACCGTAGTTGCTGTGCAATTCAACTAACAACGCAAAAGTTTAAAAAACTGTATTTCCAGGTAAAAACAATCAGCAGAGACTAAAAAAATGAAAAATAAATCATTAGGCTTTGCAAATAAGACTCTGCACAACCAACAGTGAAGGTTTGAAATTTGCTCTTTGTAAGGAACCTACACATTTTCAATTTCTCTTTCCTCTAACCACCAGCATTTTTTTTTTTTTTGTCTAGCTTTTTACCCCACTTACTTTTTTCTTCTATCTATCACACCTTTTCAACAAATAAATTAAACTCTGATTCGTTACTGCCGCACGCACAACTCAACCTAAGCTTACTTGGGAATACCAGTAAGCAGTCTGTCCTATCTTCACCTAATTTAGCATTGAGTCTACCAGATGGCTTAGTAACGACATTCAAATAAAAATAAAATTGAGGAAAAAGACAATAAAACGTCTTTTTTAAAACAGAAAAATCTTATGCCCACTCCAAAAAAAATGCCTACTAGCAATTTCTCAATAACAAGATAAGTACTTTTTCACTGCATAAATTAATAAGCCAATTCTTCTCTTGATCCATCTCTGTCCTCCACTCCTTCAACAGTTATTTAAGCGCTAGCTAATGCAAAACGGTTCCCAAATCTCAAACCATTTACAGTCAAAAGAATGTTTCAGCCGATTAGCAAGGCAAAGTCAGTAAAACAAAGTTCAATGAAGCCATATTTTCCAGCCCTCTCTAATAGTACCGCACTTTTCTTTTGCCATTCCGGGTTCACCTAATCTCATCCATATATTGCCAAATACATCATTTTCAACTGAAAAATTTGAAACGCAGATACACTACAACAATGATTGAAGAGAGAGGAACTGTTAAGAGTAAAAGAGTAATAAAAAAATTTCACTCCTTGTTTTACAATAAACAATTAATATCCATAACCGCAATTATAAAAATATTATCATCCAACTCCTAATAAAGTAATTACCATTACTACTAATTCATTAACTTCAACAACAACTCAGTGATTCTAAATTAAATATAGATTGTCCTTTCACTGTTTTCACACTAACAACCAAAATACAAAAACAGACCGAAAAAAACATCAATACTGTCAAGTGTTTCTCTCTTAAAGAATGCATTTTCGTAACCGTAACATTCATTTGTTAATAAATGCTTCATTTAATTCGTCGTGTTTTTCTGTATCTCATTAAAGAACTTACTTTGATGTAAAATATGAAGCATTAACAGAAACCACAACACCAGTAAAATCACCAGCACAATCACCACCATCACCACCATCATCACCAATAATAATTTAAAAAAACACTTATGTCACT